CACATAATCACGCTGCATAGATAAAAGGCTGATATATTTTACCAATATAAATTGGAGAATATAGGCCCACAAATGTTCAATGAAAGTTAAAGAATGGAGACTCTGCAGCTGTGTCTTTGCCTTTTCATTATGTCTTTTTTCATAAATGTTACTTTTTTTAACAAACACAGTGATAGGTAGGGAGTATAGACCACAACTGAGGCCTGTAACTGTCTTGGCAAGCCTGCTTATTGGAATGCCATGCTCCGCCTCATAAGTTACAGTTTCATTAAAGATTAATTGACCATTGTGTGGCTGCAATTTCACAAAATAATCATTACTTAATCCACTGGTGCAATAAAGTGCATTACCTCAATGGGGGCATTAAATTACTACTGGAGGTTATCGTTGCAGCTATGATACAAAAAGCCTCTGAACAAGAGGACGGTCTGCTTCTCCTAAATCCATGGCTGCCCAGCCTTCCTTGCTGATCCTATTTCCTTAATGCAAAAAGGAAGCATATTGTTTAAAAGTTGCTGTGTTTGCCATTTTAACACAGAAGCCTTTACTGCAACAAAAGAGGTAGATGTGCAGCTGAAGTAGCTATTTATCCACTTTTAATTTCTTTGCATAAAGCAGTTTAGGTAGCGTGGGCATGTTGGGCCCTGACAGAGGATAACATGTTCCACTGGAGCAGTTCTCAGCTCTCAGAATATGTTAGCATTTTTTAAAGTTCTGAGTGAGCTGTACTTAGCATTCAAACAGATAATATGTTGATGTGTCTGTGCTGAGTAGATTATCAGAGATTATCATAAGTGCTCTAAGCACTGAAGAAAACAGGAGCTTGTGTTGTCAAACATGACTGTTGACTTGTTATCTTTAAAGCTAGTTTATTTGAGCTATTGATTTGGATTTTTTGTGTTAATTTGATAATTTTGGATGATTGGTTTTCTATTTTTATTTATTTATTTATTTATTTATTTATTTATTTATTTATTTATTTATTTATTTATTTATTTATTTTGCCTTTTTTTGTATTTACTAAATTAAAGGTTTTCAACATTTGAAATGTGCCATTTAAAGCCCTGGCCATTGAAATAGTGCATACCACAATCTTTTATAATTAGGCAAAACTAAACAAAACAAAATAAAAAATAAAAAATCACTCGTAAAGCAGTGTTTATTTAATGCTATCTGTGAAACTGACCGATTCATGTGTTTAACATGCAGGTGTGGCAATCACTGAAAAATAACAAATTATGCATYAAATTGGTCTTGGCATTCAAAGGTTGCTGTTTTTGCTTAATAAAATGCTGAAAGTGCATGTTGGAACAAGATTTTGAAGGGAAGGCAATYTGAAAAGGTGGATGAGCTCACCATGGTTCTGAATTATTGCTTTACAGAACACAGAAGCAAAAAAGAAAAAAAAGTTGGTGCAGGTGAACTCACTGCATACAAAGTCTCTGGGCCTGAAGTTAGCTCACTGCACAGCATGCCAAGTCAATCTTTTTTTTTCTTTTTTATTGTGTGTTTGTTTTGTAAAGCAAGRGATTTATTCACATCTAACAGTATAATGTAATGTGTTATAATGTATTGTTCATTTTAGCTGTTTTATTTATCATTTTGGTTAGGGTTACCCATATAAGTGTTTATTCATAAAATAGAAAACAAWTTTGTTGTGAGTTAGCATATAGTTAGCAAAATAGTGCAATGAATGGAGTCATCTTGTATGGTGAGTTAGCATTATCATGCAGTGGTTTTGTTTGAGTTTACAGGTTGTTGGCATTGCTGTGAGTTGACATAGACTCTTAAATAAGTTGAACTGTGGTAAAATGAAAAAAAAAAAGGTTTATTTTTGTTCTCCTTTCCCACGGTGATGTATCACAGTAAGGGGTAAATCCAAGGCTTTTCTTCTTACTTTSGAAATGTTAGTAAAGGCAAAGTTGTGTGTAGTAACTCAGCTTTGAAATGTGCAAAATAAGATTTCATAAAATATTAGCTGTAGCATAAAGCATTGCTTCAGCATGTAGTTGGAGATGTGTTTGCTGTTGGCGGCTCGTTCACTGTTCAAGCTGTTCCATCATGTGCCGCCATGTGTCTCTGCACAGCGGTAGAAGTAGGCCTCGGTTGGCAAGACATTGTACTCGTTTCACACAATAGACACACAAACACACACATGAACACACACAACCATACGCCCCTACACACACACGTACACAGCCTTTTGTGTGCTCTTGGAAAAATCACATGTTTTACAAGAACCCCAGAGAGGGGGGAGGAGAGACATATGACAGGCTCTGACATTTCCATTTCAGCTAAAAAAGACACAACTGCCCTCATAGTGTCACTATGCGCTTTACACACATCTGAGATCAAAGGCCCTGATTTATCTCAAAACAACACATCAAACACTGCTAAACATGGAAATAGTGTTATTCTTTACACTTTGATAAAATAAACAATGTTTGATTCTCAACAAATTCTTGCATTTTAACTTACACGCATGTCACTGTAGTTTGAARTATATTGGTGGAAATATGATTATTCAGCCCTTTTGAGTAATGAGAGCGGTAGCTCAAATAAGTTGCAACGATGCAAACACTGAGTGGATTASATACAAAGTAGGTTTGTCAAAACAGTTAGGATACTTGCATTTGGTTGATTATTTCCTTGTTGTTACAATGCTTTGTGGTAATAAATATTATACTGAAWGGAAAACTTCTTTAATCTTCCTTAAATGTTACCACATTTGTGGGTTGAGCAGCAGAGCTGAGTATGAGAGTTATACCCACGAAAACCAGCTTATTCTGCTGATTTGGTTAGTTTGATTGGTGATATTATGTGGATTGGATCAATGCAATCTAAAGACTTTAAGCCTAGATTTCCACTGGTAAAAATATTCAGTCAAGAATTGTTGCTGAAAAAAAATAAATTTTTAACCAAACACTAATTTTCTTACTTCTTGTTGGATTTAGTGATAAATAAATTTCAGCCATACTTATTTAAGCTTTAATATAACAGTTAATGTTGCAGAATTGTCAATGCTTTAGGGACCTCTGCAAGTACAAACAAAGAGGAGGGTAAAGAAATTCCTAATTAACTGATAAAGTCGACCATGTCTTCTAGCTTAAAAAAAAGGAAGAAAAAAAGTGGTGTGAAAAATCTTGGCATTTGGAGAAATGGAGCCTGCAGCTAACAGAAGTGAGCAAAGGGAAACAGTGATTTATGGTCATGCAGGAAACTCACTGTTGATTGACCAATTCCAATTGAATGTAGACCTACAGGTCAACATGGACAGATTTCATCAGGTTTTCACTTCGTCGGAGAAAAGTAAAAAAAAAAAAAATGTGTGCAGCCATCCGTTTTGAAAACCATCCTGTGTTATCAGTTCTTTGGACAAAAAGAGATGCATTTTTTCATGAAGAGAAAAGTTGTTTCAAATGTATGGGTGAGACTGAGTTCTATACTCCGCTGTGACAAAATATTGAAGTAAAGGCCAGAAGAAAAGTCACTGTGTGATTTCTACGTGTAATTGTATTTCTATTGGATGACACAAATTTAGAGCAACAAACTGAGGTATAGTTGGAAAACATTTTAAGTTAAAAAAAAGGGGGACTATGAGAATTATTCGGTCTGACAATGAAAATTCCTGCCTGGGTTTACTTTCCTCCACATCCAATATTTGCTCTCCGTGTTTTGCATCAGATATGTTGTCCTCAGTAAGCAGCTGTCTGCACACAAAAGGCATTTTGTTTGCTGCCTCTTTACCTTCCAAATCAAATCAAGTCCATCATAAAAGAAAAAAAAACATAAATAAATAAGGAAAAACAGACCTAATTGATTTGTATGTTTGTTTTCCTTTCTCACARTGTTTACGACATTTTTCACTTGAAAAAAAAAGGGAGCATGCACTGAGAAACAGAGCAATGAGTATCTAATTCATCACTCTTTGCATGACTTGCCGGGGCCAGTTTAATTTATTTTCCCTTCCCCACTTTGAAAACTGTTGGCTCAGGCTATTCTAACATATTCATAAATCTTCTGAGATAGCCTCATGGCTCTTCCAAGATAGGCTCTTGAGGAAACTGAAGAAAAAGAGAAGCATGCAGTGGATATTGAAAGGGGCAAATTAGTTTGCTTTTGTTTTGGTGCTAATTTATGACAGTCATATTGGAGGAGATAAGGCCCTCACAGAGTAATGGCTTGTGTGGGGCCTTTTATCTTTCTTTAGTGGAGTTAAAATATATAACCTGCTTCCAAATTTACATTTTTGGTTCACAGTTTGACAACCTTAGTGCTGGCCTAAAATTATATATATGTATGACACTACTCTTATGCATAATAAACCAATAAATAGTTTTTTTCTTCTTCTTTTTCTTCTTTTTCAAAAGCAATCACTTACTGAATTTTCACAAGCTTTTAGTCTTGTAAACTAGTATAAACAATGGGACTACTTTCTTTATAGCACCTGAAACATCTTTTGTTAAAAAAGGGTCTAAATAACCCATGAAAATCTGGATCATTTAACTATCTGCTAATTCCCTCTTTCATTTAATTCTGTCTTCAATAAGCTATTTTTACTTCCAAGTCTCAGGGGAAGGAGGCTGAAAGTGAGAATCAGCCAGATGCAATATCATCAGGTTTCTAAGCTTTAGCCTGGAGAAAGGACAAACAAAATAAAGAAGAATTAATGCGGGAGACTTTAAAGTTGATCTAATTCCCAACTGAAGTAAAGCCAAGTGGTACAGATGTTTTATTTAAATCAAAGTGAAGGAACTGAAGCGGCTTAAAATACCTTTAAAAAGTACATATTTTCTATCTACCAGGAGAACATTTCTGACCTTTCTTACATTTTTACAATTTTTTTTATTAAATTAAATAGCGCTACAAATGATGTCTGTAATTTTCTACAGTAAGACTAAACCTAATGAAATGTTTTATGTTTAACAGATAAAGCCTAACCAAATGATATAGCAGATGGATTTTAGCTGTTGAAAGGAAAATAAATGGGGAGGAAAAAAATGGGGAGGTGAGCGGGATGGAGAGAAAAAAAAGAACACTGAATTTAGTTAGGCTTTGATAGGTAGCTCCCTTGATGTCAAAAACCACTACGACATTCTAATCTAAATCTAAGTGAAAGCAAAGAGAACATCCAGGGAGTGTCATATCCACAGTGTGTTATCTGTAACTCACAGCACCACTGACTCACAATAAGGAGACCACGGGGGTGAGAATGAAGGGAAAACATTCCACTTTTTTAATGTAGGTATTTATAGAGCAGGACTCTAAAATGTCTCAGAAAGAGCAACTACAGTCCCCAGATTGCTCATGTTTTTCCTGTAAATTTAAACTGCTGTATCAGTCCTTTCTAAACTGTATCCCAGTGCAACAAACCAGAGAAAAAAAGATTATAGGTTTGTAATTGGTGTCTTTATTTTAATTTTTTTACAGTCATATATTAGCCTTGAGGTAGATAAATGCTGACAAGGGAATAAAAAAAGGGAAAAGAAATAAATGGAACAAATAAAAGTTTAATTAGAGGAATGAAATGGAGTGTGCTTTCTATTACTGCATCTGTGCTGTACCTCATGTGGTTCTGCATACTAATGTGATCATCTTATTTAATTCATAAGCAATTAAGCTAAAAACTTTAGACTTTATTTATTGCAAGGTATAAAAGGTAAACTTATTTGACAAAGGTGTGTTGTAAAAATAACAAGTTTTACATTTGATCYAAGATAACTGAAGCAAATAGGTGGATACAAGGTGGCCAGTTTAGTGGAATACAGTCACCGTGTGAACCTAGGCTCAAAGGCTCAAAATACTGACAGGAGAAAATACATGTATAGAACACCGCAATAGACTTTATTAAAGACAAACCAAGACCCCCAATTGCCTTAACACATAAAAACAGGTGCATTAACTGAATATAACTTTTAAACAGTTGAGTACATTTTTTCCCAGAACGTTTGTCTAATGGGTGRCCATTTAAATGTTTAAATAATTAGCATGTTTGGTGCGTGCGTGTCCATTTTAAGTAATCACAAACAAAAAAATAAAATAAATGAGTCCGGACAAAATTAGTATAGAGTAATCATTTGAAAGTGTGATTTAAAAAAATGTTGGTGTTTTGGATTTCAAGAAATGTAAAACTCACACTCTTCTTTGCTGGTGGACATTATANGTTTAAGGTTCTTCTTCTACATATTAAAAAGTTGTTTAACATCTGAGTGGTGCACTACTGCTACTAGTGGTGAGAAAGTGTATTGCACCTTATTTAAAATCAATGCGGTCCCGCGGCCCTCTGCGGCCCAAAGTTAAAAACTGTTGTTCTTTTGAGGCCCTCAAGGTGGCGCTCGCGGCCCATAGGTTAAGAATCTCTGCTTTAGTCATCTTATGCCAAAAAAACTTTCCTGAATGAATTACTCGTATAGGTTAAATATATAATCTAATCGTTAGCATCACATTTATGTATATGTCAAAAAGTGGTTTCCAGTAGATTTTTTTAAAGTTCTGTTTTAGGTGTAGATGCTCGTCAGTGCAGGACAAAAATATTTATAATTTCTTTAAAATGTTAGGTGACAGGACCTTTTAATTGGACTGCCTCCAAACTTTAATCAGTTGTAGATGTACGTCCTACTCTTGTGTTATCACCAACTACTTAATATTGTTTTTTTTTTCTGTTTCTGCAGTGGAAATGTAAAATAGAACATCTTTATTTGGGAATGACTATAGTAAATATTTGATTGTGTAGTTGTAAAGTGTGCATTGTTTTGTGGCAGGAGCAACCTGTGTCTTAAAGAAGAAGTTTTCAGCCTCTCAGTTTTGGACTGACTGCAGAAAACATGAAGTGACCATATTCCAGTACATCGGTGAACTCTGCAGGTACCTCTGCAATCAGCCTAAGGTAATCTTCTTTTTAAATTCATCAGTGAGTGCTAACCTATTCTGATCTAAAGCTATTTAAAGATTCCTCTGAAACCTGGACGTTTTCTTTGATACAGCCAAGCCTTAAAAATCTATTTTATCTGTTTCATTAATGTCTGGTTCACATGGCAAGATTTTGAAATTGTCTGCCGATTTTTAAAGACAGAGACCCCATACATGAGGATAAAAAAACTTAGATATAATAGGTCTTGTCCTACAGTGTGTGGTGTACAGCCACACCACAAGAGACAACATACCACACACTAATAGATTTTTTTTTTCATGAACACATATGTCAGACGTGAAATCGTGCAAGATTGTCGGAAGGACAAAATCTGGCCAAAATTTGGCAAAATTATCCTGTTGAGTGACACCGGCCTTAACTACAGGCATAAAATCAACATTTATTGCATGGCTGTCTGCTGCATCTCATTTTTACAACCATCCAAGGTTGTTCCTGAGTCGAAACTCAATGTATAGCAATGGCACCTGTGTGGCGTGTGGTAAGTCACTTGATGTCCAATCCAGTAATATAGATTAATAGGAAGGCATTGACCTGGCTAGCCTACCACAAGATATTCAAGGATTTCTCAGACATTCATGAATGAGTCAAAGCAACACTCTGGGTATGTTTTTGATGAGGAAATGACACATTAGTATGATATAAATCTCAAAAGAGTAAATTTTGCCTACCCCCACCACCCCCCACCCCACCCCATTGCTTTTTTTATTTGAAGACTTATTAGGGAATTTGTTTCATGAGTATCATTTTAAAATTAAATGATTGGTAATTTGAAACAAGAATACAAATCATACAGTTTTCATAACAATGGCAATCTGACCACAATGAAAAAAAACAAGTTTTACAATTTATTATTTACTGGCTGGAAAACAATCATGTTTCAAAAAACTGTTGCTTTCATTCTTATTTTGTTTTTATTGATAGTTCAGGAGCAATTTTCACTTCAGCATCACAAAATTGTTTTTCCAAAGACCTTGAAAAATCACTGTCATTTCCATCATGATACACTTCCACAAAAGTAATGTGAAAATTTGACCATGATAAATAATTTCAATAAAAAAGGAAATTGGCTCACAACTTGACTGTCACTCAGTTTATTTTAAARAGCTGTCTTTAGTTTTAGTTTTTTTTTCCTCTTCAATGAATTAGTGGATTCTACTTTATATCTTCATGCCATTCTGTATCCATTAGTAAGCATATGATGCTCTTTTTTGTGTCTTGTTTAACTAATTGGARTTTCTTTATATTTATATCTAAGCACAACTCAAAATAAACTTGCTTGGGTTAACAAGAGTTTGCATAAAACACGTTGAATTTGTAACACATTAATTTTAGGCAAAATTAGTATAGTTCATCATCCAAATGAAAGTATATTCTGCTGTTAGATAGTAGTGGTGATTATCTTTGATCTTCCACATCAGGCAGCTATGGCTCCTCCCCACAGTTTAAATGCCAAAAGTTAGCATTTTAGCTAATTGTCTGGTAAAAGGTCAATAGGCATTTGTAAATGAGACACATGGTGGGTGTTCATTAGAAGTGCTGAGAGCTGCTAGGGCTTATTAGAGAAGCACACCGCCCAGCCAGTGCCATCTCTCTCAGGGGACAGTCTATAAAGACCATTTATGCAGTATGGTCAATGAGGACAGTTCTGTCAAAGCTGTTATGTTTTTGGGCAACGGCTGTAAAGACCAGTCAGGGATGCAGTTCATTTGCAACTGTGTTTTGTTTGAATACAATGCAGTCAAGCTGGGACTATCATGAGGGCTTTGAGTTGTTCCAAATTTTGACACATCCATTTTTCCCTAGTACACTTTGATCAAGGTAAAGCATTTAAAGACACAAATCTGCTGAGATGGTGCTTTACATTCACCAGTAAATGTGTCTTTTTAATTGAACAACTGACTTTCATTTCTCTTGAGCCAATTTTGAATCACTTCATTAGTGCAAGTAAAGGTATAGTAGATGAGTCTCTGTAACATGGGACCCATTGCTTTTGTGGAGGCTCTGCTAAATAACATGGTTGTAACATTAGAAGCTACTGTAACATGGCATCTTTCTTAGCTTCTAAAATGCTTCACGTATATTCAATACACCCACGTAAAAAAATAAGCCCACATTTATTTTAAATGCTTGTAATTTTATTCTGGTGTATAACTTGGCCAAAAAACCAATGCACTTCACAGTATTGATGATGAATGCTGTGTGCTGCTGCTGCTAAGTGTTTTCCGCCTGTTTATTTTTAATGTGCCCTCTACAACAGAATGATATCCGCAAGGACTGTCCATTGAGTATTCCAAATTAAGCAACTAAATGTGCTGTTTGTCCTAGAACAACATATATTTCATTTTCTATTCAACAACAAGACATTTGGCTACAACATAGCTGTAAGCAAGTGTCTGCCCACTCAGTAAATTTCATATTCTCAAATCAAAACGTGTGCATATAGTACAAACAAACATCCTATATGATTATTTATTGTAGCTTTTGTAAACTGTGATAGACTTGCGACCTGTCCAGGGTGTACCCCTTGCACAGTGACTCCCTCAACCTTGAAAGGAAAAAGTGTATATATAGTGTTTTTCAAGATATCT